AGAGAGAGAGAGAGAGAGAGAGAGAGAGAGAGAGAGAGAGAGTTTTATCAGCACAAATACAACAAATATATATATATATCCAATATAACTCCAATATAACTCCACTGTGTGTCTTCCTCTGTCTGAATATATCATAGCATTTTTTTCTGTTCAGCAGTTCCTAGATAAAGTAACATATAAAAATATTTAAGAGTCTATGGATTATATGTTATGATATAGGTTAATATGTATATGTTTTAAGAATGTGAATGCCAAATAGTTTTGTAATCCCTAATAAATGGAGATGCACAAACATCTTTGAGATCACCTTTGAGAAACACAATCAGCCAATTGGCCATTTTGGGGGCAGCCACAATTTTTACAATTCAAGAATTGCCACTGCTTCCAAAATGCTGTCCCCTTCCAGAATAGTACCATGTGGCCTCTGTATGGGAAGGTTGGCTAGCTCTCTTTCTCAAAGATGGTCTTCAGTAAGTGGAGTGAGATGTGACTAGGGTGAGTGAAGGTCCAAGGGTATGTAAACTAGTAGGGTGGGAAATTGTGAAAAGGGTACCTCAAGGTAGGGGACACCCAGGTAAAACACATACAAATACCAAACGCTCCACTTAATGACATTAGAGGGTCACTTAACCATAATGGGGAAAGCAGGAATTGTTGCCATTAAGTAAGGCAATCACATGGACAACTCACTTCATGACTGCCACAACTTATGATCATAATTTTATGCTAAATTGTGACCATAAACTAAAGACTACCCAAAATGCTGTCTTGATTGCTTTGGGTAGGGAAAGCATTATCAAGGCACAGCTTTTAACTTTCTTCTTTAAGAAAGTGATATCTTTCCACATGTTAAAAGATCAGTTCATAATAGCAATAGCACTTAGACTTATATACCACTTCATAGTGCTTTACAGCTCTTTTTAAGCAGTTTATAGAAACAGCATATTTCCCACAACAATCTGGATCCTCATTTTACCTACCTCAAAAGGATGGAAGGCTGAGTCAACCTTCAGCTTGTCAGAATCGAACTGCTGGCAGTCAGCAGAGTTAGCCTGCAATGCTGCATTCTAACCATTGCACCACCATAGCTCTAGTAGAAGAATATTACTACAATAGAAACAATAAACTTACCAGAATTCTTCTCAGTGGAGGTTTTTGATCCACCAGAAACTGCCTGAAAAGGAATTTCTCTGGTTATACAATTCCCCCCTCTGCTTTAAAACTCTGGAGGAGTAGGGAATCCTTTGAGGCAATGGGGAAGATTGTATTGGAGTACTGTTGATAGTACTGTTCTTCCTGCTAGAAGACTTTTTCTTCAAGACATTTTATCTAATCCACTAAATTATAAATTCCCATATAACCAATAACCGCTACCTGCTCTATTTTGTTTTCTTAGGAAACATGCATGTAATCCTCAACTTAAAAGCATTCATTTCCCAATGGTTTGAAGTTACAATGTGCTTTAAAAAGTGATTTACTACCTGTCCTCAAAGTTACGACGATTGCATCACCCCGATAGTCACATGAGTTAGGGCACTTGGCAGTTGGCTTGCATTCGTAACCATAGTCACAGGATGGCGATTTGCAACCTTTATAGCCATCTTCCAACAAACAGAGGCAATGGGGGAAGCTGGATTTGCTGAACAACTATGTGATTCACTTAGCAATGTTAAAAATACTTGTGAAATTGGGTTGGGGAGGTCATGTGATGGCTCGTTTAACAACCACATTGTTAGCAACCAAAATCCTGTTCCTTGAGTCTTCCTTAAGTCGAGGATTACCTGTGTTTAAAAAAAATTGTTAAAATGTGTATTTCTTTTTCATTTTATTTATTGATTAATTTTTATGCTGCCCATCTCCCCTACAAGGTGACACTTTTTTCTTCCAGGTTAGGCGTGTTGTTCAGGAAGATGAAGCTGTTGCAAAAGTAAAAGCGGAGGAAACTCAGGCAATAGCTGATGATGCCCAGCGAGATTTGGATGAAGCCCTTCCAGCTTTAGAAGCTGCCAACAAAGCCTTAGATTCTTTAGATAAGGCAGATATTTCTGAAATCAGAGTTTTCACTAAACCGCCTGATCTTGTCATGACAGTGATGGAAGCTATTTGTATTCTTTTAAATGCAAAGTAAGATTACTATACTGTATATTTAATCTTTTGCATTGACTTGTAGCTTTACCCTTCACCTAGTCCTAGAGTGATGTCATTTCTGAAAACAAATTTATTTAGCATGTGTTAATTTTTCCATCTTTTGTGCAATATATGTGATGCCACTCTGACATAAATTTCCTTACAGCTATTGAGATAGCTAATGTCATGAAGCTGAAACCATAAACATAGTGACCTCACATTATCCCTTTGGTAATAGTTATAGATAGCTCTTTCCCTTCCCCCACTCCCATCTTTAGATACTTGGGCTTCAGATTCAAAAGGAAACATGTGCATCGGAGCACACCTGGCACCTTTCAGCAACTCCTAAGTCTCTTTCCAAGGTCACAGAGTTGTCTTCTGCAGCTGGTGTGCAATCTTGAGAAAAGAAATGTTAGCTTCAATGAGTAGCTGACAGCATGTCCCAATGGAATCCAGTAATGTGTGACCCTTTAAGTGTAGTTATTGGAGAGCAAATGAAAGGCATAGTAATAGACTTTTCTAAAAGATAGGTTGGTCTAGTAGTTAAGACACCCTGATAGAAACCAGGAGACCATGAGTTGTAGTCCCACCTTAGGCATGAAAAGCTGGCTGGTTGGTTTTGGGCCAGTCACCCTCTCTCAGCCCAACCCACCTCATAAGGTTGTGTTTGAGGGGGAAATGGGAGGAGGAAGAAGTATTAGGTATGCTAACTGCCTTAGATTATTTATACAGATAATAAAGGTGGGATAAAAAATAAATAAATACAATAAGAGTTCTGAATTTCCAAGACTCTGGTCCACGTCATTGTAAGTAGTACTTCATTTACTATCACCAAACTACACTTCTTCCTTAACGCTTACAGTTTACTCCATTCCTCTCAATATTCACTCTTTCGTCTGCCATTGCACTGTCCCAACTGCTCTTTTTATATATTTTTCTCCCAGATAAGCTGTCAACTATTGTGGCATAGCCTCGAAATATAGCTGTTCAGTTGGCTGTTGGCATAAGTATTTCATCAACCTTTAAGCTTTCCAAAAGACCAATGCCTACACCGTTCTCTAAACTGTCTTCCCTAGTGGCCAAAAATCTCCTGTTCTCTGATTCAACTTATAGGGAATATAGGGATAGCTGTCCATTTCATAGCTAGTCCATTCTTCCCCTAGCAGAATGATTGACATTTGCAATCAACTATTACATATTTACTAAAAGATTTGATTTTTCAGTTTGGGGGGAAAAAATCCTCATTTGTAATCTAAATTCAATTTTGTACATGCCAAGCCAGACAAAACTGACATGCAGAGTAAATTTGCAAGTTGGTTCTACCCTTCTAAACATTGTATGTCCCATCTGCTTATGAGTATGAATAACTCCTTAAATAGATACACCTCTTTGATGTTTTATGATGATTGCTCATTTGACGTAATCCAGTGGTTACTCATTTGATTATGTCTGATTTATTTCGGCCATGTCATGCATGCACATTCATTGGAGAAGGCAATAACTTTAGGAATGGTTAATGGAACAAGAAGAAGGGGCAAGCAAAAACATGCTGGCTTGATAATATCAAATCTGATACAAAGTTGTACATCAAACAAATGAAAGAAGCTGTGCTTGATAGGATAGCATGGAGAGCACTTGCCTATAAAGTCACCAATAGTCAGATAAGATTAAATGGTTAAAGCAACAGTAACTCCGCTTGCTTAATTAGTTTAATCAAGATTATCACCTTGTGTTAATGTGTGGGCATGGCCAGCTCAACATCACTTGTGTTGGCGCAACTGCATAGACTTCCTGCAGTGCTCTGCAAGGGGAAATGGAGCTTGGGAAAACCGTGTGTGACCCTCCCAAGTTCTGTTTTCGCTGGCAGATGCACATGGGCCGGTCCTTCACTGTTTTCAGGGTGGCCCTCTGGGCCAGGTCTAAGCACCCCACAGGTTGGATCCAGCCCGCAGGCCTTGAGTTTAACACCTCTGGTATAAATATACTCCTAATAAGTTGTACAAAAAAATGAGCCCCACTGAATTCAGTGACTCTGAGTAAACAGAAATGCTGTCCAATATTATCAAGTTTAAAATGGAATAACTGTTCAATAACTATGACTAAATGGTATCAGTTTATTTATATGTTTGTCAATTTCTTACAAGACCATCTTCTCTTCATCTATTGGTATCAGTTTGAGAATCTGTATTCTACATATCCTTTTTAATGCTCAGAGAGCATTAAATCATATAGAACAATATAGAATTAGTTTCCTTTTTTATGCTTCACTTATGTTTTGGTAGTCTTGATTTTAAAACAACATTGTTTTGTCATGTAGCAATTTAAGCTCTTGAACAAAAACATGACATGTAGATAACTATTGTTTTTGGGGAAGAGAAATCAGAACATTTCATTTATGCGTTTCTCTTTCTATAACTAAAGGACTGTAATTAATCATATCTTTCAGGTTATTTATGACAGTATATAAAGAGTGTAACCCTATACATGTTTATTCAGAAATAAAAAACTACATTTAATAATTGCTTTTAGAAGGTGTGGCATAGGAGTGCCGACAGCCCACAGTAATATCATTCGCCAAATAAACTACAACACTTGGAATATTTAGTGCTGGCACTTCAGTTTCTCAGAACTAAGCCTCAAGCTGCAGTTGTAAATTGTCTTCTTTCCATTTCTACATAAAAATGAATTATGTATGACATCAAAAATGACAGCATATTTTATCAATCTCTCATTTACTTTTAGAGTATGCCAATGATATGGATGAAAACATATTTTCTGTTTAAAAAGTATAAAGGAACTTTGTGTTTGCCAAGGAAAAAGAAAGATCAAAAAGACTGCCTCAAGATAATGAAATTATGTATTTTTACGTGTTGGGATATAGTTAGATTTTTCTATGCTGTAAAGGAAGAGAAATTTAAGCAGCCTAATATATTTCCTTAAAAAAATGAATTAAATGATATTCATAATGGTTAAGGCACCAGGCTAGAAAGCAGGAGATTGTAAATTCTAGTCCCAGTTTTGGGCCAGTCTCTCTCTCTCTCAGTCCAACCACCTCACAAGGTTGTTGTGGGGAGAATAGGAAGAAGGAGGAGTTAGGTATATTCACTGCCTGGAATTACTGATAAAAAGTAATGAAGGTGGGATAAAAAATCTAAATAATAATACACTTTTCTTGGAACAGCTTTTATCCACTATCAAACATTCACATTTGCCTATCCCAGGTCCTTGGGAAGGACTCAGTAAGTGGATAAAAATGCAAAACCCAGTCTGACCATCTTGGCTGACTGGGACAAACCATAGAAACTTCAGTTTATGATACTGTAAAACAGTAAATTGAACATGTAGCATCCGGCAGTTTCCCTTATATCTTCTCCCTAGGACCAGAAGCCTAAATTGTTTTTAACTCTTTTCACCAAGTCTGCAGACTAGATGTACCTGTAGATCATTAAACATATATTTCATCTTAAAATTGGACTATTTTTTTTAAAAAAAAACTGATCTTTTTACAGTGCATATTTTTCAGGAAAGATCTTCATCAATCTTTTCATTTTAATCTTTCAGGCCTGACTGGGCAACAGCAAAACAACTACTTGGGGATTCCACCTTCCTGAGGAGGCTTCTAGAATATGATAAAGAAAATATAAAGAGCGCGATATTAATGAAGCTTCAGAAATACGTAAACAATCCTGACTTTGTGCCAGAAAAGGTAGAGAAAGTGTCAAAGGCATGCAAGTCTATGTGCATGTGGGTGAGAGCGATGGATTTATACTCTCGCATTGTGAAGGTGGTTGAGCCAAAAAGGCAAAAGTTACATGGTGCCCAGGTATTTATTCTTTTTTCCTCCAGATTTTTGTATCTGCAGTCTGATTCCTATATTAACATGTAAGTTAGCGGAGCGGGGTGCAGGCACCGTGCAGTGTGTGCGCATGCACAAATGGCCTGGTTGGTTCAAATATACAGGTAAGGAACATGGGGAGCAGGTGGGCCCTCCAAAGCACCGTTCCGGTACGGTGCCTGCTGCTTCCAGCAGGCACCGGTACTCCCATACTGGCAGAACCCACCACTAATGTAACCTGTCTTGGATTATGGAAACTGTGTAATTCTTTATTCACAATGTTAAATGCCTTTCTTTCTCTTTCCATTTCATTCCCAAACCTGCAGGGGCATAAAGTATTTTTACTCTTCTTGTCTTGCAAAAGCATAAGAGACAAAGAATTTGCTGATTCTTTAGGCCTCCCCTTCTGAATTTGCTTTCTTAAACCAGGCTGACAGTAGTGGAGAACATTTGGTTAGTTTAGCTTTCATAAAAATCTCCTCAAATTACCATTGTCTGACAGTAGCATTGCTACCACAACAATTTCAATGTTATTTTTTTTTCTTTATCAAACTCTCTCATTTAAATCAAACTAACAGAACTAGGGCTGAGTTTATATACTTCCTGCTTCCCCTCAGATCAATCCATCTCTGTATCTAAAGTTGAGGCAATTACAAGTGCATGGTTTTTTTTAAAGTTAAAGTCATCAGCTTATTTTTATGAGTCAATGTTTGTGTTTTTATTTTGTTTTCCTCATTACATTTCTACTGCATGACCCCCAAATTAGGGAATGTGTTGTTTCTGGAATTGCCTTCATTTACATCTTTAGAGGAACAATTAAGATTTACTTCTGTAGCAAGATGCTTATATGATAACACATGGGGAGGGGGCCTATAATGTTGTTATTTATATATTTTGAGAAGAAATATATTTGGCATTTCTGTAATTGGTTGTTGTTAGCTGTCTGGACCCTAATGTGAACAGAATAGATGACTATAAATTGAATAAATGAATCTAATGTATGTCCCAAAACCATTAGTTCATCCACTTTACATGTCTTTGAGTGGCATGCCATAATGAAGTAGCAAAATTTCAAAAATATTTCATTATCTGATAAATGAGAACCATCATATGACAATATAAAATAAAATTGAAATCAGGGAGGAAAATATCTGCTGCTGCCCATTTTCTCATAAATATTTCAAGATGTTTCTAGGAAAGTTGTTACTATAATTCCCATTCCAATGATTTTTGTTCTAAACAAAGCATGTGTGCATGAACGGGAGTAGAAAGGAGTATTTTTAGCTGTTCCATTACTAATATATTTAATTATATTGATATCACAATAAATTGTTAGTTTAGTATGATATCAAAATAGTTGGATTTGATTCAAACTTTGATTCAAATGTAATTCTATTTTAAGGGTGGTGACTCATTTTGAGGAAATCTTGAGATTCCTCAAAGTGAACATGAATATGTATTAAATGTTATATAATTTATAAGGTTATATAAGTAATTATAATGTATAATTATGTGTAGTTTCTTCTATATTCTATTTTTCTGTAAAGCAACTGTGCAAATGAATAAAATAAGACATTCAGAATATATGGAAGAATAATAATTTGAATTAATTTGTATTATGATTAGGCAGAACTTGATGCAACTTTAGCTACACTTCGTGATAAGCAAAAAAAACTGAAACAGGTAGAGGAACAAATACAGGAATTACAAGATCAATATGAAAGAAGTGTGGATGAAAAAGAAAGCCTTGGTAAGTACCTATTTTAAAAATTATAAAAAATGTTTTACACTGGTGTTTCTTAATCACCTTCTTAGGGTAAGGTACAAGTTCCAAACTCTCATGAAGTCTGTACCAATACAAGTAGTCCTTGATTTGTGACCACAATTGAGCCCAAAATTTCTGTTGCTCAGCATGGCAGTTGTCAAGTGAGTTTGGGCACATTTTATGACATTTCTTGCCAAAGTAGTTAAGCGAATCACTGCAGTTATTAAATTAGTGACACAGTTGTTAAGTGAATCTGGTTCCCCCATTGACTTTGCTTGTCAGAAGGTTGCAAAAGGTGATCACATAATCCTGGGACACTGCAATCGTCATAAGTGTGAATCAGTTGCGCAGTGTCTGAGTTTTTAGTAATGTGTCCATTGGAGATACTGCAACTTTCATAAGTGTAAAAAATGGTCATAAGTCATTTTTTCAGTACTGTTGCAACTTTGAACAGTCACTAAATGAACTTTTGCAAGTCGAGGACTACTTGTAAAAGTTCACCAGTGTAGTTTATTAACATCTTAAAATTCTGCTGACATGTCATCTTTCAAAAAGACATTTTCACTGAAGATGTATACACAAAATGTAATAGCAAAATATCCAGATGTGAGAAATTGGTCATGTTATGTTCGGAAGGCAGTCTGGTAAGAAAGTGCACATTAGCAACACAAAATCAAATGATCATAATCTATTTTTTAAGAATTACTCCACAATGAAATCTTTCATATTGCTAATTCTAGTGCTGAATTTTGTTATTCATTCAAAAGACAAAAAATAGTTAACGAAATGAATTACCTTGAATTATAACCATGATCTAATAGAATTATCATTGTTTAGCAAAGACCATGGCACTGACTCAGGCTCGTCTCAACCGCGCTGGAAGACTTACAGCTGCATTAGGGGATGAACAGGTTCGATGGGAAGAAAGTATTTTGAATTTTGAGGCAGAGATTTCAAATATCACTGGAAATGTTTTCATAGCTGCTGCTTGTGTAGCTTACTATGGGGCTTTTACTGCACATTATAGACAATTGGTGAGTTAATTAAAATATTTACTTTCTCTAGATCATAATTTTTAGTGATTTGACTTTTATTTTTATCTTATTCTAAAGCCGATATGCTTCATAAAAGCTGCTGTACATCATAGAAGCAGTTGTAAATCTAAATAAGTGCAAATAATGTTTCCACATATGGGGAAAAAATCTACACAGCCAAATCATGATTTTTCCCCGTTTTCTGTCAGTAGTCAAGAGTGGCTAAGGGAACTGGTCTGGATATGATTTTGATCTTGCTCTTAAAGAAATAATCAGGATCAAAAAGAAGAAACAAGTGTAAGTGGAAACTGTAACCTAGAATGGAAATAGTGATTTGGGAGCCAGCATTAATGCATGCCGCTCAGGTCAAATATTTATGTGGAGAAAATAAATAAAATGCAGTACTGCAGGCTGCTTCTGCTGCCTGCCGACTGCCTACAATTTAGCAGTTCAAATCTCAGCAGCCTCAAAGTTGACTCAGCCTTCCATCCTTCCAAGGTGGGTAAAATGAGGAGCCAAATAATAGGGGGGCAATATGCTGACTCTGTGAACTGCTTAGAGAGAGCTGTAAAGCACTGCAAAGTGGCATATAAGCCTAAATGCTATTGCTATTGCTATTAAAACGGGGGGAGGAGGAAATCCTTACCCTGCCCTGCACCCTAACAATTAATAGTACTAAGGGTGCAATAGCAGTTCCTCAGAAACTATCTCTCTGTGACTATGTGTATCTCCTAGTTTTGGCATGTGCCAAAAAGGTTTACTGTTATATACAGATGGAGATAGTTCATAGAAAAGTAAAATATTTTATGTTCTTATTTGTAGATAGTGCTCGACATGGACACAATTGTGCCCAAAATTTATGTTGTTAAGTGATGTTTTCCCCATTTTATGATGTTTCTTACAATTGTTAAGTGAACAGCTGCAGTCGATAAGTTAGTAACTGGCTGTTAAGTGAATCTGGCTTCCCCATTGACTTTGCTTGTCAGAAGTTCGCAAAAGGTGATCACATGATCCTGGGACAGAGCAGGGTCATAAGTATGAACCAGTTGCCAAGCCTATGAATTTTGATCACATGTTCATGGGGATGCTACAAAGGTTGTAACATGAAAAAATGGTCACTTTTTTCAGTGCCATTGTAACTTTGAACGGTCATTAAATGAACTGTTGTAAGTTGACTACCTGTATTTTAGTAGAAATTGCAAATTGTTTAAAAAGTAAAAATTGTCCAAACGTATCTAAGAACAAACATATTTTCATAATTGATTAGGATCATAATTGGAGCCTACAAAAGCAAAAATGTTTTCATAATTAGATTTTCATGGGTGGCTGCACAGTCAACCAAATATGTATAGAATTCTTCCCAAGGACCTGAGATATTTTTATTATTAGGATATTCATTGTAAATTATCATGCAGTTCTTTTATCCATACTTGAACTTTTTTATCTACCAATCACATTGACTACTATCCAGCTACATTTCTATGTAATTTTCCACCACCAAAATAAGAAGCAATTGCTGAAAAATTAGAATTCCGGCCCTACTCATTTTGACAATCTCATTAAGAGAAAGTTCTTTTGGTTTATAAGATTATTTATATTCAAAAACATTACTATATAATTTCAGATCATCCAGTTATATATATCTTCATATTGAACATCTGCTTATTAACTCTCATGCAAACTTTGTCTTGATTAAAATAATTAGTATTTCATACAGTAACCGAAATAGATTTTCCTGATTTGTGTTTCCCCCTTCAAATTAGTTAATTGAATGCTGGATCAAACAATGCCAAGATCTAGACATTCCTATTAGTTCTGACTTCAGTCTTATAAATATTTTGGGAGACCCCTATGAAATTCGACAATGGAATACTGATGGATTACCTCGCGATTATGTTTCTACTGAAAATGGCATTCTAGTTACACGTGGGCGGCGCTGGCCACTCATGATTGATCCTCAGGATCAGGTAAGTGTTTGTTTTAATCATTTATTCATAGCTGGCATATTCGAGAAATATAGTTTGTTTTTATATATAAAAGACTTGTGTGCAATTATTATTCAGTATTGTTGGTTTATGGATCTTTAGAGATCCAGCTTGCTTTCTAGGCTCTGGATAATATGTTCCTTCTGTTCCTCCTCCTGTCAACTTGCTCTGCTAGTTTGAAAAGAAGAAGAAAGACACAGAAGAATTTAGAGATTTGCCACTGCTTTTCTGAACACACTACCATTGACTTTGTCAAACTGGATCACTGTCCCTCTGACCCTTCCCTCTGGTTCTCAGCCACAATTTTACCAATCTATCACTGTGAACTGGATTCTTTGAACAAACAAGGACCCTGTCAATCCTGAAGTTCACCTGACCAAAGCCATGGAGCTTCAGTGTTGCCACACTGGAGATGAGGGATCGGAAGGGGGGAATTGAAATAGTTAGGCCTTTGTAGCCAAAATGAAATACTTTTTCTTGGGAACCAAAGATATTCTTACGACATTCTCACATCTGGTCAGAGGAAGGAGGAAGGATGTCACCAGGCAACCCAATGGAGCTGTGATTGGACCATGTGACTATTTGTCTTGAGAAAGTGAAACTTTTGCTTTTAATTAGGTGAAAACTGTGGGAACCCTCAGAGTCAGTTTTCACCAGATCTGTGCCAATATGATATATCCAATAAAGCTATTCTTTGAGGAATCTACTTGCCTCAGAGTTTTGCTTGTTATGGATCTATTGTTTGGAACCCTGGCACACCTCCTTCTTTCTCAATTATTATAACATCTATCCAATAGCTGCTACCCTGTTTCTAGAATTGTTGGCTTTTGAAAACCCAGAATTCCTCCAACATATTAATTGGCCCTCGAACTATTCACTTCTTTCTCTGGGCCCAATATATACCACAGTAGTATCTGGCAGTCTTCTGTAATGGCAGCATACAGCACAGCAATATCTATTTAACCACATAGAGTTGTGTATTTGAAATGGGTGGTCACATAAATTACCAAATAAAATAAAACAAGATGGAGTTACCCTGTGATAAGATAGGTGTACTTATAGGACAAGGTAGCTATGTGAAAGAAAGGCCATACTTGTTTCAAATTAACTAGACATCATCTTCCAGCTGCCATAATATCATTCTCTTTTTTCTTTGGTTAGATGGAATAGGGAATTTATGATTAAAGAATAGAGGAAAATTAAAATCTATATATGTGATTGTTAATTCATTACTCTGTGGTGGGAGGCCAGGATTACTGAAGTAATTTATTAGGTGCCTATCATATTGCCCTTATAGTCTTTCTTTTTCTTTATGCTAAGAAAAAGAGTTTTAAAAAGTGCAGCCCAGTTTAGCTGCTGTCATAAAAAGTTCTTTATCAAATTCTCATTTTTATAACTGCCATGTAAGAAGAAGATGCCTCCTGAACCTTGCAGATCCATGCTGCCAATAGCATCTGCCTTAGATTATATATATATATATATATATATATATATATATATGTGTGTGTGTGTGTGTGTGTGTGTGTGTGTGTGTGTGTGTGTATGTGTATATATGTATATGTATGTATGTATGTATGTATGTGTATATATATATATATATATATATATATATGTGTGTGTGTGTGTGTGT